TGGCCTCTGGGCATGGGGTGGGTCCTGTGTTCTTTAGTTTAAATGCCTTAGGAGGGTCTCTTACCAGCCCAATCATGGCTGCTTAACTACAGCTATCTCCCATGGCTGTCCCTCACATCATCACTTTGGGAACAGAACACTGGGACTCCTAAGTTGAAGCCATTCCAAAGCTGCTCTGAATCTTTGGCAGAATATCTTGACACAAGCCATAACAACTACTTGCTATAAATCTTTAACTATCCATGTTTTGAATTTTTTCCTAATTATTTTCATTAAGAATAGTTTCAGGGCTGAGTGTGGTGGCATATATCTATAATCCCAGCACTTGGGAGGCTAAAGCAGGCAGATTGCTGAGAGCTCAGACCAGTCTGGGGTATATAAGTGAGTTCAAGGCCAGCCTGCACTACATAGAAAAACCCTGTCTAAAAAAAAGGCACATAGTTTCAGGGCCTTTGTATTGATAACTGCCTGGTACATCTGAGAATATTTTAATATATCCTTACTTTTGGATTAAAATTGATTGAAACCAACTAATTGGCTTGTTCTTAGAACCACAGGAATTTTAATACATAAAATATTACTCTATTGTCTTCTTTTCAGCATGCTCCTCAGAAATATATATTTGCTTATTGTTCCATTGTAGGTGATATGCTCTTTCTTTCTGAGAACTTTTAAATGTTCTTCTTTGACATTATTAATTTCAGCTATATTTAATTAAGGCATGCATGACTTTAACTCTCCAGTTTGGTATTATAAGAGCAACTTAAATCTAAAATCATTTGTTTCTCTACTTCTAAGATTTTTTTTCTATTATCTCTTTAAATGTTTTTTTCTCTCCATATTTTTTCTGGGCCTTCTATTACATGTGTATTATGCTATTCTCATAGTATTTCTCTGTTTTATCTTTTATGTTTTCTAATTCCACATTGTTTGCATTGTCTTTTGGAAGACATTCTCAAAGTTAACTTCTAATGACTACTTCATTCTTTTGTCTACACTTACTCTACGCTTCTCTTACCTTTTAATTACTCTACTTTTCATATTTATTATTAGTTTTAGTTCATATATTTAACATCATACACTTTTCCTTGAAAATTTTCTTAATATTCAAATTTTTACCTTATCTAACTCAATTATTGTTTTACAAAGCACATGCTATTCAGTTTATTTCTTTTCAAATTATTTTGAAAGTAATTGTACATGTATGTGCCTGTCCCCTCCCTTTCCCTAATGTTTAGGAAAAAATAATATTGAGCCCTTGTCTACCTTTCTCAATGAACTTAGAAGTATATGGCCCAAGGATACCAAACAATGACTGCTGATTTTTCTCACTTCAACTCCACAAGCCAATTTCCCCCAAGTTTTCTTTTTTTTTTTTTTTTTTTTTGTTTTTCTCTGGTACCGGGAACCGAACTCACGACCTTGCGCTTGCCAGGCAGGCGCTTTGCCGCTGAGCTAAATCCCCAGCCCCAAGTTTTCTACTTAAATTATAGTACAAGGCCACACTGAAATAAAACAAAGTACTTGTTTGTATGGAGCCGACCATTTTATTGAGATATGGATCAAGATTTTCTAACTTTACCTGGTAAATCTATGTCTACTTTTATCAATTCTTTATGTTAGTATAGGTTTCTTCTGAGTTCATTTTACCCAGTATTTACCAGAGGTGTTACTATCACTTCAGGCTTTTTTTCTATGGGTGATTCTTTATGAATCATGTCTAGATGTCCCCCCAAAGCCTCATGCAGTCATAGGTGGGATTTTCCAGAGGTGGCTGAATCTAGAATGTGTTTGACTGATTCATGGTGCATTGTTAGGATTAAGGGTTCTAGCATCTGGCATGGCTGATTACTAAAGCAGCCCACTGATTGATTTAGCACCACCCTAATCCCAGTAGCCTAGACACAATATAAGCGACAGAAAGAGGCTTGTCTTCCCTCTTGTTCACTTGCTTTGCTACCTTCTTACCATCATGAACTGATCCTTTTCTGCAATTCCGTCTGCTATGCCACCCTGCTTTGGAAGCAGCCAATTATGGACTGAAGCCTCTATAAAATGAGCTGAATAAACCTTTCCCCCTTTAACTTTGGGTTCAATTTACTTTTCTCTTATTGCTGAAAGTTACTTTTCAGCAATGAGAGAAAAGTAACTAAGGCAGTGATTAATGATTGGATAAGAAGAATGTGAAGGAGCTACAAGAGAAATTAATATGATTTCCTCCACTCTGGTGGTCCTTAGCTTTAGTGTCTAAATCCTTTGATACCAGTAAAAGAGAACTTTTAATTTTGCTAAAGATTGACATTCTCACAGCTGGGTGTTTTGTTGTTGTTCCATGTCATTGTTGCTGTTAGTTCTTCAAATCCAAACCTCTTTTTTTCATTACTCCAGGAGATAGGAGCATATATTCATTCAGAATCTTAATTAGAATAAAGGATTGTGGTCTACGTCCAAGAACAATGAGAAATATAACTTTTTAATGTGGTAAGGTGATACAGTAATATTTGTGTGTTCAAAAGGAAGAGGACTGCAGTGTTTGGAGGAAAACAACAGTAGGCATGATGATAACAGTTAAAACTTAACTAGTCCAAGTTATCTTGGTCCACAATAGTAGTGTTAGAAATATAAAGCAGATTTATAAGATATCTGGAAGCTAAACTCTGCAAGATTTGGAGGCTGATAATGTCATTTGGAACAAAAAGGAGAAAATATTAAGAATGACACCTGGACTTCAAGCATTTTTAATAGGATGACATGTATTTTTTCTTCCTGGAGATAGAGCACTATAGAAGGAAAACTGGTGGAGAGGAGAAACTCATGTTTCATTTTGAAAATTTTTTTCATTTGAAGAATCTTTTAAAATTCCAAAGGAGATCTCATCAATGCACTGGGAAATCCAGTGCATCTCAGAAAGGAAGTAAGAATTGGGGATATAAACTTTTGAGTTAAATGGTAGCATAACAGTGGTAATGTACACAGCATCTTCAGAAAGACCATGTAGATTCGGAAACTAGCTCCTTCAGTCAGAAGCTTTATGAATTCTGGAAATTTATTTTTAATGTCTGAAGGTCATTTCTTTATCTGTGTGTAATAAGTTTTATTAGTTGTTCAAAGTAAATTGTTAATATTTGCAAAGAATTTAGAACACATATTAAATTTTATGTCTCTAACACATATTATATGTGTGTTTGGTAGTATAACACATAGAAATGCTATGTCAAACCATAGTTATTGGTGAAGTCACCCAAGCAGACAGGTCAGTTTAAGAAAGAAACACGCTCAGTGACCAAGATTTTAAAAATTCCCCTATGCAAAAAGAGAGATGAACCACCCAAAGACTCTAAAGACAAGTAGACAAAAAGGTAGGGAGAAACCCAAGAAAGCATATTTCCAATCCCATCAAGAGAGGGAATAAATAATAGTGTTGTTTCAGAAAAATTATAAATGAATATCATAAATGGGATCAACTGCAAGAAGTGGCTACTCAAGTCAGATAATGAGTACGGTAGATTTCCTGATGCACCAGGCAGAACTCTCTTAAGAACAAAAGTCTCATTCCCCCATATGCTACACATACTACCAGCAGACATTCCTCAACTCTCAGATTCTTTGGATAACTGCCTTGGGTATAGTTTTTTCTTATCTGAAGGCATAATCTTTTCTTCATCACAGTCTGAATGGAATAACTGATTATTATGGGGCATAAAGGCCTAACTCCTGTCACACTCCTGGATGAAACTTTGAAAGTTCATCCCAATTTTAGATTTCTATGTGGGATAGGCTAATGTCTTTGTTGAAGCTAGGCATAACATCCTAATTTCTTGATGCCAAATTTTCTTTTCTCTCTTTCTTTCACAGAAACTGGTCTTTACTAAGCTTGCTGCATACCAAAGTGTATCCTAAGAGTCTGCTTCCTAGGTAACTCAAATTGTGATGCTGAGTCTCATTTATTGAGAATGGTGATGGGTGTAAGAAGGCAGACTGCAAATAATAATTAATAATAATAATAATAATAAAGAATAGCAAGGAATTAAATTTAACAAGCAAAAACGGGCAATTCTTTCAAGAAAGTTTGCTTTTGGAGACTGGAGGATGAGCAGAACTAAACATTAGCAGCTCACCACTCTGCCCCCATCTTGGTATGGGAGACAGATGCCTGAAGACAAATGACAGTTATAAATACAAAATTCTTTGTAACTGAAGTAACGTTTAATAGAGTGAACAGAAATTAGAAAGTATCACTTCCTGTGAAATATAAGAAGAATTGATCGATCAGTACTTCCTCATTAAGGAGTTAGGGGAATGAGTAATAATATTTTAAAAAGACTAAAATAATCCTTCAGTTGGCTACCTTACGTCAGTCTAAGTTTGAACAGCATGAGTCTTCTTACACAGGCATTGTCTCTATCAGATAAAAATGGATACTGCATTCGGAACTACTTACACAGCTTTCCAGCTCCAACTCAATACAATTCCTGTCTCATAACTAGAGACTGAAACTGATTCTCAGATTGTGACTTCACTCCGGGATGCTAGAGATTTCTGAAAAGTTGTTCTTTTTAGATTCATAGACAGGTGGGAAAAGTAACTTTATATAGGAAACGAAACTCAGAGAATGAATGAATCACCTACATGACAATGGTAGTTTGACTAAGGCATGAACAATGGAGGAGGAAGATGCATATCTAGAAGAAAAGCATAGGTAAAAGAGGGGGGGAAAAAAAGACACTTCTTTTTAACTATCAACCATAAATTGCTAGCCACAGGCAGCGACTAAAATTTCTCACGCCTTGAGTTTAAGACGACCTCAAAAAGCCCACTGACATCTTTTGTAACATTAGCGGGCGGGGAAATTTTAGGCAGCGAGATTAAAGGCAGAAAAGTTACCATTGACCCCGGAAGCATTTGCTTTGCGTAGGCATCCAGAGACTCTAATTTTACGATCAGTTCCTCGATCCGGAAGAAGAAACAACAGACTTCATTTGTGATTGGATTGCATCATAAGGGCGGAGCCTTAGCGAGCCATTCACCTTGGTAACCGGACGTGACGACGGTGGAAGCCACCCGGCAGAGCTCTGCTCCTGGCTGGCGGCGTCGATAGGCGGGGCGGCCGAGCCAGACTCAGCTTTCTTCACCACAGACCCGGCCCCGCTGGGGGCGGGGCCGGTAAGTCACGCCTCTCGCGTCCGCCCGGGATGGTTGTGGAGCAGCCGCGTAGCCCTGAGGGGCGGAGACTTGCGCTAGTTCTTGCAGCCGGTAGAGCTGGGAGGGCGGCGTCGCTTCCACTAATCTTCCGGCTTCTCAAAACTGCGTCGCCGCTTTTCAGAGGCTGGGGATACGCCCTTCGCGAAAGCCGGGCCACTCTCCGAAGTCGCTGGCAGCTGCATCCCAATATTCTCTCATTCTGGTTCTCTCCCCCGTGAGAACCCTGGCTGTGTACTGCCCACGTTCCTAGACGCACTGTCCCCTGCCCCTGTAAAATGTCCAGTAACCTACAGAGGGTGTTCCTGAAACCCGCAGAAGAAAATTCAGGCAACGCCTCGCCTTGGTAAGTACTGGTTTTAAATATCCACGCGCCCGCCTCTCGCCTGGTCTCAGCAGGACTCCAGTCCGCGCTGTCCCCTGAGGTCTGGAATTGAAAGGCTTCAGTCCCCGCGGAGTGCGCCACTCAAGCGGGGAGCGCTTGTCATTGCTCAGCCAGCGCTTTGAGAGCGCTTTCTGCCTGGACTGTAAGCCTCCTTAGAGGCTGATGCAGTTTGTCTTTGCCCTGGCTCTGCAGTACTCCAGTCCTGCTGAAGTTTGGAAGGCAGAGTAGAGCTCCACTGGTGAGGGAAACCAACATGGCCGACGCTGTTGTGTGAGCACAACATTCTGGAAAATTCTCACACACAGGCGGAACGCACGCAGCTGTCGGCAGGAGTAGCATTTCATCCCTGGGGGCGCTGGACCGTCAATGAAAATAGTCACGTTTTTATAGTTAGGAAGAGGATGTAAACTTGAACAGAAGTTGTAGAACAAGGAAGTTCAGTATTTTAAGATTTCAGGTATTAGCTTTATATGAAGAGAAAAAGATGGAGAAATTCACATATAAATGTAGGAAATAGGTGACACATTTTTCAAAGCTTATTTTAATCGTGATGAAATGGGAACAGCTGTTTAGGCAGAAAGTTTTGATATCGTACGTACTATGGTTTGTAGGTATATTATATGAAATGAGAAAAAGATGAGCTAATAAACCTGCAGAAAGAAAATGAAGAACACAGCGTGGAAATTAAAATCTGACCACAGTTATGGAAGGAGGTTCATATTTGAAGAAAATCAGGCTATTTGATATTAATTTCACCTTTGTGCCCATTACTGTTTATGCAGTGTCCAACCTGTAAATAATATTTGAAGAATTAAAAGACTGTATATATGTAAGTTAGTGCAGAAAAAAAGTACAGCGCTATTTAAGATTTAGCTATTAGGAAAAGAATACAACTTTAAATCTGTACAAATTATAGCTCAGGGCACACGATTAATTCTCTACAAATTGTAATCGAGGACACACGTTTCTTTTTTATTACAAGTAGATACAAAAATTATGACGTAATTTTTTTTACGACTTGGTTTCACAATGTTGTCCAGTCCTGGCCTCCCAATTCCTGTGTTCGAGTCATCCTCCTGCCTCAGCCTCCCCAAGAGCTGGAACAACAAATGCTTGCTGTAGTGCTTAACGTAATACTGATTCTTTAAAAGTGTGAACAGTTTTATGAAAGGAAATGTCACTAATGTTGGTGAGCTAAAACATTATTGAAGAACTGCCCAGAGAGAACCGTTTGTCTTGCAAGGCATAGACAAATGGTTTTCTCTGGGCAGTTTTTTCTTTCTTTGTTTCTTTTTTTATTTTGTCTTTTTGAGACAGTGTCTCCCTATGTAGTTTAGGCTGGCTGGCCTTGAGCTCACTTTGTAGCCCAGGGTGGTCTCGAACTCACAATAATCCTGTTGCCTCAGCCTCCCAAGTGCTGGTACTGCAGGCATGCACCACCACGCCTGGGTATAATATTTCTGATTTTTAAAACCAGGAATCGAACCCAAGGCCTCACACTTGCCAGGCAGGCGCTGTACCGCTGACCCAAATCCTTGGCCCAGTTTTTCTACCTATGTATTCTTTTCTTTTTTTTTTTTTTTTTAACTTTTGTAGAAGTTGAGGGGATGAGGCAGAAATCGTGCCCTATATATAGATGTAAAGTAGAATTAGCTTTTTAATGTTTAATTTCTCCTACCCTGTTGTAATATCTGGCTATTTAATGACATCTGATTTACCATAACTTATAGACTAATGATTTTAGGATTCCATTCCTTTTCCATACCATAAATAAGATTGAGATATTTTAAAATATATTGTTGTGTATTTAACTGTTTTACCCAGTTTCTAATCCTTTTGCTGCTTTTGGATTTTTGAAAAAACATTACACATTGAATTACGTTTTGGTAACATTCATAAGTCTTTCAAGTTCTTTAACACATTGGTTTATGGATTGTTGTTTTCATTATATGCGCATGCCTTTATTTCTTTCATCATTGAATGCTTGCTTCATGTATTTTGGACATTTACGAAATATTTTTCTGAAGTTGATACTTTATTCTCTGAATAATTAATTCTGCTCTATTAGTAATAATATGAATGGCATTCAAATATATTTGTAGATAATATTACCTCTTTTTATTGGAAATTTAGTTTTTTGATTTGTTTTGGTGGTTCTGAATGATTTTTCTTCATAAAATGACTTACAACTTTATTTTCTACAGATATTTGGATTTTTTTAACTGCTTTCCTTTTAAAAATTTTTTCCTTGATGTGGTAATAAAATGTTTATTGCTTGAAATATCTGATTCATCCAAGCATAAAATGTAAAGCACAAATTTAACCTTGTAAATGCACAGGAAAAATGTAGATGTTTGTGATAGTACCTGTTTAGTTTACTTAGGTTTCCATTCAATACCTGTATATATATACATATATATACACACACCTATATAGATGATAGACTGTGCTAAATAAGGAAGTGAAGAATAGAATGTCAGTCATTTTAATTGGAAAATTTATAATGCTGTGAGCGCTCAGGGATGCTGATGTAATATGTTTTATATCTTTCTGCAAAAGAAGATAGAGAGGAAGGGAGTTGTAAAAAAGTTCTCAGGAGTGATTTACATAGAAATTCTTAGAGTTAACATGCCCAATCAGGAGTAACTGGGAAATGAAGCTAGCAGTGTGGTTTATTATTAACAGTTGGGATTTGCTTGATTTTGTACTATGAGCACGATAAGTAGGTAGCACTTAAAGATTTGTTTTATCTTGCTGAATATATTAGACTTAATCTATTGCAGATTGTTCGAAGGATTTTAAGAATTGACCTGGTTAGGTGTACATTTTAAGTAAGTGATGGCAGTGTAGATTTGGGCGTGCAGTCTCACAAGTAAGGATTCTATTTGAGGTGCCTTCTCAGAGATTTGGGGGGCCAGAAGAGGCTGATGTAGAATAAGGATTGGATTCAAATAAATACAATGAAAATAGACCTTGTGAGCAAATTGTCATAAAGAAAGAGGGATCAGTTACAATGCTGTTTTTCTGGGTAGAAATTAGTTCATTAATTGAAACGAGGAATACTGCACATTAATTAAGAAAACAATCAGAAAGACATTTGGATCTGAAACTCACACAGTCAGACCTGAAAATAGATATTTATGAATTATTAGAAGTACAACCAAAGCCCATGATTATTTTCTACAATAATAGGAATTGGGATGTCATGTTAGCAGCTGGCATCTCTCTGACCTTAACCTTTTGTTTTGAAATATCCAGCTGAAATTACTATCCGCAGCAGGGAGCTTGGTTTGATTAGAAAGATAACATGTCATCATCAGTTCAGTATACTTAGTTGTGCACATTTTATTATCTTTACTTTTGTGATTTGTAGAAGAGTGGGCAGGGCAGAAAAACAGATAAATACATTATACAGGCTAAGTGAAATCTGTCGTTAAGCTGTCGGTTTGTGTATGTGAATTTTTCAGTCCTATCTGGTTATACTAAATACAGAAGTTGGGTTAGGATTGCTTAAAAGGCTGTAATTCTGCATAAGTTATTTTATATTTCTACTGCTCCCCATTTTCTCAACTATAAAATATTAATGGCAATAACTGCCTTGCTGAGCAATGAGGACTAGTGTTAAGGACAACTACTATAACAATACATTATGTATGTAATATATAACATATATGAATGTGTATATTATAAGACTAGGTACTTACATTTTATGATATATATGTACATAACATTATAGTAAGGCATGAAAGGGTCTCCTACCAATTGAAAAGATATATTTTGGAAAAATATTTATAAACTGTTCATTAGCCTTAAAGTTTTTATCATTTGTTTTCTAATACGTGACTACTTCATTGGTCAATATTAATAAAAATGATGGAAGTTATATAATATTAGGTTTAAAAGTTCTTTTTTAAAAAAGATATTTTTGAGATTGATTTATTGCTGTACTGCCCAAAGTTATTTTGAACTCCTGTACTCAAACAGTCCTCCCACTTCATCCTCTTTAGTAGTTGGGACCACAAATGCACACTTGCAATTGGCTTGAGACCTTTTTGTTAAAATCCTCATCTCATTTTCAAAGGACCTATCTGATTCATTTCCTTATTTTTGGACCAATTATATATTTTAATTGAAAATGGTAACTGTCATGGTCCCAGGCAGTTATTCATTTTCTTAACAGAGTAAGTCTTATTCTTCCCATTTAACAAGTGAAGAAACAGGGGGCTGGGGATTTAGCTCAGCGGCAAAGCGCCTGCCTGGCAAGCGCAAGGTCGTGAGTTCGGTTCCTGGTACCGGAGAAAAACCAAAAAAAAAAAAAAAAAACAAGTGAAGAAACAGATTCAAAGAGGTTAAGTAAAATGTCCAGTCAGTCAGTGTAGTAAGTTGAAGAACCAGGATTGGAGAACTAGGATTAGTAAATTGAAGAACCAGGATTAGAAGAACCAGATTAGTAAATTGAAGAACCAGGATTAGAACCAGGATTAGAACTGTAATCTTTCGGATATATTCCTATTTTTTTCTTCTAAAGTCTTTATATCATTTTAAAGCTTTTATTAGTGTATATTAGTTACACAGAATGATAGGTCTCATTTTGGCATGTTGGTATTCATTTGACATAGGATATAATTCGATTGTTTTTACCCTCTGTTATCCTCTCTTCCTTTCTTTTCCTCTTGCCCCCTCCCCTTCTTCATCTGTAATAGTTGACCTTTTGTTCAAAGTGTATATTTTTCAGTTTCTCAGTTCAAGTAGTAGCTGATTGGTAGTTACATGCTGATGATTCTCTTTTGTTTGTCTTTTTGAGACAGGGTCTCACTATGCAATTCAGGCTGGCCTTGAGCATACTTTGTAGCCCAGGCTGGTCTCGAACTCGCAAAGATCCTCCTGCCTCAGCCTCCCAAGTCCTGGGATTACAGGCATGTGCCACCATGCCCGGCCTTGGTGATTCTTTTTAAATGATC